ACAGCAAGCAGAGAACTGTCAACCGTGTACCCTCAGAATGAAGAGGTAATGCCACAGACTGCACACATCACGGGAGAAATATGGTGAAAGAAAGGAGGCACCTCTAAGTAGATTATTGGTTAGCAAAATTAGTCCAGCTGACCATTCCAACTATCTAGTGAGATAGATATTTACAGAAACACCGCATACAATAAATAAACAACATTAAATAATACAAAACGGGTTGATATATCATAAAATCAATCCGTTTAACATTTTCAGTTAGGAGTTATGGCTAAAGAAACTAGACTAGTTGGCCAGTGACTTCGATCATCACCGAGTACCTCATGCAATATTCGACATTAAATAATCCAAGAAGGTTTTTTAACATGTAAAATCAACCCGCTTAATATTTTCGACATGAGGTAATGGTTAACGAGACTCGTCTATCTGACCTTTGCTTCTGTCTCGTGAGACCAATTCTTGCGCGGTACCTCATACAATATCCGGCATTAAATAGACCCATATGGGTTGATAAGTCGTAAAATCAACCCGCTTAATATTTTCAGTATGGGGTAATGCTTACCGAAACTAATCTAATTGGCCTTTACTACTGTCTAACGAGTTCGATCCTTACAGAATGCCTCATACAATATTCAATATTTAATAATCCAGGAAAGAGTTAATATATTTTAAAATCAACCACCCTAACTAAAAGACTAATTATCTGTTATACTTCATACTATATATAGCGAAAGTTGCTTTCCAGAACCTAAGCAAAGGATTTGCGGACATATGCTTATATGAACCTTTGGCCTTGTTTTGCAGTGAGAAACCCGCTCCCAAAGTTTTCTTGGCGTTTTCCACGGTAGTTCCAATATTACCTTCAAGTCGTTGTAAGTAAAATTTTGTGATTCCAAGGAAATTAAAATCCAGTTTAGTTTATGCATACGCACGGTATACGTCTGCTTATCGCCAACTCTCTCATTCTATTAAGAAGCAAGATGAAAGTGCAGCAGCTGACGAACAAGCAGCAGCTGATTTTCCTAAAGCATTAGATAACGTCATCGAAGAATACGGGTTTCTTCCTGAACAGATTTTTAACGTTGACGAAACTGGACTATATTAGAAAAAAATTGCCAGACCATTCTTTCATTGCTAATGCTAAACTGATAAATGATTTTATTCAGAATACAGTACATACATATCATAAATACTGCATTATGCAATGGGTAGTGCTTATTTACGGTTTATAGTGCGGTTATTTCGACTTAAGTCCTTATCCGACCTAAGTAGTGACCTCTGGAACCAATTAAAGACGTAGGGTGAGGTATATCTGTAGTATGTGGTTTACTCTAGTAAATACCGCGTCCTGGGTAAGGCGATAAACTACATCTGCGTCCTGGGTAAGGCGATAAACTACATCCGCGTCCTGGGTAAGATGATAAACTACATCCAACAGCAAGACCTCTGATCAGGAGGTTTTGAGGAGCGTGAAACCACCTCTTAATTGCTCGTGTTCTCAGATCCACCATGATCCTTGGCGGTAGAACCTGTTAGGATCCCAGCTATGGGCAATATAGTTGACCCTAAAACTGAGGTCAAAACACTAGGAAAGTGTAAAACAGGTTTCAATACCAGCAATAACTTTTTGTAAAAAATTATTATCAGCAATGAATTTTTGAAGAAAAATAATATTACCAGCAATACATTATTACCTGAATTACATTTTTGGTAAAAAATATTACCAACAATACACTTTTTGAAAAAAAATATAACCAGCAATACATTATTAGAAAAAAAAAACAGCAATAAAAATCTTGTTATCATTAAATAACCAATTGAGGTTGATATGCCGCAAACCAAAACAAACCAAATCTAGGAAATACCGGATGTATTAACCGATTATATATTTTTTTTAAATATATCGCTGAGACCGGCTTCACCTTAAGAGATAACAAAGTAAGTTTTGTACTCGGCGTCACCTCAGAAAATGAAAAGATCGAGGAATCCCAAGGGTTGACTTACAAGCTAACCTCAAAGCCACCCAGTGCAGATTCGGGCATCAAACGAAGCGTGCATCAATATAAACAACGAAATTAAAACTGTGGTTCTCAAGGACACATGGCACAGTGGATAAAGGCGTTAGTTAGATCTAGTGACAGGACCCAAAGAGTGTGGGTTCAATACCCGGTTAAGGCAGTGGAGAACTTGGAGAGGGAATTAACAGATAACTGATAACTGACATCCATTAAACATGGCACGTGGAACTAGAACAGTCTACCCCAGCGAGCGAAATAATGGGTTCAGTTCAACATTCCAACCACCTGAAGAAGGTCGGTGCGTACAACGGCCGAAACGTTGTAATAAATATGGCGACAAAGATGAGGACAATAGTTCGAATAATGTAAATAATGTACATAATACCTCATCTCAGAAATATAGACAGATACTGAAAGGCCGAAACGTGATAATAAATATGGCGACAAAGATGAAGACAATAGTCCGAATAATGTAAATTGGCTAATGTTAATAACAAAATGATCTTTTGTCTTCACCATTCGGTTAATATTAAACGAAACCTCTTCAAACGTTGCTTTTAATGTTTCTATCTGATTTTGGTCATGGCTGTAACGCATAAATTAGCTTTGCTATTGCTGTCTCTTGTCAATGCCTAATTTGCGAACGGAATTTCAAGTCTATGTACCTAACAGTATCGATTACTTGTTGACAGCACAACCATAGCTGATGTTTTAGCCTCGGACACTGGACTTAAGATAGCAATGGCATGGCGACCTTAACTTCCACAATATTTGGAGCAGATAGTCATCATTGATTAAAAATTTCAATTCAGTACTAGTGTTTCATCGCAATGCTCTCGGAAAACATTCTATATTTGAAATTGGGGATGTGCAGGTGTGACAACAGATAGCATATGGGAATGCAAAATCGGAAAACCGGTTTCGAATTCCAGTCAGATTCGTTACAATCGCTTGCGCGTAAGTGCATTTGAGAAATCTATGAATCCATCTCCCCCCAACTATTGGTTAAATAGTAGGATATTTGTTATTCTCGACAGAATTGTTAATGACATATTCATTCACCAAGAAAGAAAAATCTATCTTCTCCCCCAGTTATAGATTAAATATTAGGACTTATATCAGAAAAAAATCATTGTTATTCTCAAAAAGTTGATAAAACAATATTAATTCACAAAAAAAAAATATTCTTGCAATCCAAAATGTCTCGGCTTTAAATAACCTACAAAGGGTTGATAAGACGTTAAAAAAAATTGGTCAATCAATCAGTTAGTCAACAATTCCAACCAATTCTGACTCTCCTTCTAGCTTGTCGATCTTTACAACAGCGACATTTTTTTTAACTAAGTCCTGCTATTTTGTGGAAGAATCTCTCGCGACGATTCTTCCCTGAAAACAATCTAAACCCCCTTTCATATGTTTAGGTTTTATTACAATTCTAAACATTGCTTTTTAAAACATTGTCGAAGAGTGAAGGTAGTTTAAAAAAAAAAACAGTTTCATGGAAAACGCCTCCTTTTAACAATCCGGCCTACTGCGGTCAGGTTTATCCATCTTTGCCAAATGTATAATGAAAATATAGTTTCACAGTATAGGTAAAAGTGCCCAATATCAGAGACAGAGAGTACGTAAATATAAAATATAAAAATGGACGCTGAGTTAAATAAACAGCGGTGACAGTTTGATGTTTCAACGCAATCTTCAGGACAGTAAAAAAAAAATATAAATATGAAACATTAATTCTGGTTGAAATAATAATAAATTAAAAAGTAATTTATGTTTGGTAAGTTGTTGCTAGGATCACAAACAACCGATTGTGAATTAAAGTTGTCGTTCACTTTGACAGGTTGCCAAAAGCCGAGTCTGCGCTGCTATTAACCCCTGATGGTAGAAGAGATGGATTTATTTTTGACAATGATATTAGCCCTGTACAAGGCCCGAGCGCCAGTCAAGGTAAAGAGTTACAGAAAAAGAAGCACAATTTTAAAGCGGGAAGGATAACGGTTGACCCTAGACTTGAGCAGGTTATGATTATAGGGATCGGGAAAGCAACCCCTTGGGAGTCCGTCCACAAGGCAACAGTTCGTGGGAAGAAACTGCTTGAGCTGAACTTACACATGACTGGTCTTTGCCATGAAGGTGAGGACTGGTGGAACTAATGAGTGTAGTTCATGTGAACACTATAAAAATGGCGATTTGAGCAGCGACAAGCTTGCGGCGTTTAGTCTGGGTTGTAGGTTGGAAAATAATTCATCACTCACAAGGACGCGGAGATGCTTTTGGGCTCTATCGAGAGGGGAAAGTGAAGATTGGGCAGCTCCTTCCCTTATATAGCAACAGTTCTCCAACCCTTTCAAAGGGATCTGTGCGAAAGCGATTGCAATATTCGCGGCGGGAATTTATACGCGGTGCTCCAAAGGCTGCTTTCCTTGCCAATAACCACTACGCCACGAATACAACCTTCGTCATAGTCTAGTTATTGATATTTATTTATTTAATTTCAGATAGATAATGATTGTGGCGGATCGTAAGAAAATTAAAACCTCATTACTAGAAATAGGCTGGGTGTTTGTGTTGTAGAATACGGAATTTATTTTACTTCCGTTCAGTATTGGTGTCTTTGTTGTTATTGATGTTGTAAGCATCTTTGAACTGTGCTTTAATTAACTTTGAATTTTTGCTCAAATGAATCGATAAAAGGCTTGTTAGAATGACGTCACGACAAATCGAACAGTAATGTAAATGATGCCGCATTAAATGTTGGAGATTTCATAATGAGGTTAAGTAAATTTATATACAACAATAGAGAAAAGAAAGAAAGTGAACTAAAGGAAAGAATGAAAAGCGAGAAGGAGAGTCAGAATGGATCGAAAAGAAAGAAAGAAAGAAAGAAAGAATTAAAGAAAGAAAGAAAGGAAGAAAGAAAGAAAGAAAGAAAGAAAGAAATGGAGGAACATGGAGATGGACAAGTTAGAAGGGGAATCAGAATTGGTTGGAAAGAAAGAAAGAAAGAAAGAAAGAAAGAAAGAAAGAAAGAAAGAAAGAAAGAAAGAGTGTCTGAATTGTTTGGAAAGAAAGAAAGAAAGAAAGAAAGAAAGAAAGAAAGAAAGAAAGAATGTCTGACTTGATTGGAAAGAAAGAAAGAAAGAAAGAAAGAAAGAAAGAAAGAAAGAAATGAAAGAACATGGAGATGGACAAGTTAGAAGGGGAATCAGAATTGGTTGAAAAAAGAAAAGAAAGAAAGAAAGAAAGAAAGAAAGAAAGAAAAGAAAGAGTGTCTGAATTGTTTGGAAAGAAAGAAAGAAAGAAAGAAAGAAAGAAAGAAAGAAAGAATGTCTGACTTGATTGGAATGAAAGAAAGAAAGAAAGAAAGAAAGAAAGAAAGAAAGAAAGAAAGAAAGAAAGAAAGAAAGAAATGAAAGAACATGGAGATGGACAAGTTAGAAGGGGAATCAGAATTGGTTGGAAAGAAAGAAAGAAAGAAAGAAAGAAAGAAAGAAAGAAAGAAAGAAAGAGTGTCTGAATTGTTTGGAAAGAAAGAAAGAAAGAAAGAAATAAAGAAAGAAAGAAATGAAAGAACATGGAGATGGACAAGTTAGAAGGGGAATCAGAATTGGTTGGAAAGAAAGAAAGAAAGAAAGAAAGAAAGAAAGAAAGAAAAAGAAAAAAGAAAGAGGTCTGAATTGTTTTGAAAAAGAAAGAAAGAAAAAAAGAAAGAAAGAAAGAAAGAAAGAAAAGAAGAAAAAGAAAGAAATGTCTGACTTGATTGGAAATGAAAGAAAGAAAGAAAGAAAAGAAAAGAAAGAAAGAAAGAAAAGAAAGAAAAGAAAGAAAGAAAGAAAGAAAGAAATGAAAAGAACATGGAGATGGACAAGTTAGAAGGGGAATCAGAATTGGTTGGAAAGAAAGAAAGAAAGAAAGAAAAGAAAGAAAGAAAATTAAAAGAAAGAAAGAATGTCTGACTTGATTAGAAAGAAAAAAAAGAAAGAAAGAAAGAAAGAAATAAAAAGAAAAAAGAAATGAAGGAACATGGAGATGGAAAAGAAAGAAGGAGAATCAGGAATTGGTTGGAAAGAAAGAAAGAAAGAAAGAAAGAAAGAAAGAAAGAAAGAAAGAAAGAAAGAATGTCTGACTTGATTGGAAAGAAAGAAAGAAAGAAAGAAAGAAAGAAAGAAAGAAAGAAAGAAAAGAAAGAATTGTTTTTGGAAAAGAAAGAAAGAAAAAAGAAAGATCATTTTAAAAGAAAGAAAGAAAGAAAGAATGACAGACTTGATTGGAAAAAAAAAAAAAAGAAAGAAAGAAAAGAAAGAAAGAAAAAAAGAAATTATTACCAAACAAAGAAAAAGGAAACGTAGAGAAGGACAAGCGAAAAAGTCAGAATGTATCAGAAAGAAAGAAAGAGAAAAAAGAAAGAAAGAAAATTGAGGAACGTAGAGAAAGGCTAGAGAGAAAGAAAGTCTGAATTGATAAGAAAGAAAGTAAGAAAGAATTAAATTGAAGGAACGTAAAGATGGACAAACTTTCTCTTTTTTAAGAATTGATTAAAAAAAAAAATTGAGGAGCATAAACTTTCCCAAATAACAGTCGGAATTGATTGAAAAGAAAGAAAGAGAGAGATAATGTAAGAAAGAAAGAGAAACAGGTGTGAATGTGAAGGGAAACAAAATTGTATATGTGAAAAACATCTTCAAAAACAAAATAAAAAAAAAAAAAAAAACAAAATGTTTTTAGAAAATTCCCAGAAGATATTTTTGGTTTGAACTAACATTTTCAAATCTTTTATTCTAATATCTCAATGATAATTTCAATTTGCCTTAATTAAAACAAAAAAAAAATTCTTTTGTCCTACGAATCCCTTTTGTATTAAAATATAAATGAAAATCTTAATCCCTTTTGTATTAAAATATGAATGAAAATCTTATTGGCCTTATGGTCCCCTTAGTATTAGAGATGTATTCCACAAATCATTCGTTTGTATAGACAATGATAACCACATTCTTTGGTTCACTGTCTATTTCTTCAGTTCTGTTACTCACTTTCTGATTTCACTGTGTAGCTAAAAATAACCGAAATGTATTGGGATAGAACAAAAGTTTGTAGCTTTTTAAAGTGAAGTTCTAAAAAAATATTTAAATATTTGTACATAGATTTATTCAACCAGATATATGTGCCATTTCGTTTCCATTATTCGTTATATTTGAGGTAACTTCATGATTCCATCCCCCTCCCCAGAAATTGGCATCTTTTTCTGTGACGAAAGAAATAGAAAAAATTTTTTGACATGAAGAACAATTCAATGAAAAAAAAAATTTTAAAATTAATTTTGTGGGGAACAAAATAATTGGTAATAGCTTACTTTATTTCCTTTCACTATTGTTTTTTGTTAGTCTTGATGTTGTAAGCAGTTTGGAATTATGGGTAAATAACTTTGAATCTTTTGTTCAAACGAATCGACAAAAGTCTTACCAGAACAACGTTTTTAAGGAACAAAATAAGTAATAATCCGGAAGTACAAGATCAGGTGAGTATTAAGGCAGGTCTGAAGTAGGACATTTTAATAAAAATTGTAACAATTTCTAAATTCTTTTAAAAAGATGATTCTTGTGTTATCCTGATGGCACGCGACGCCTTTCTGATTCGTCAATTCTGGTCAATTTTCATCGAATTTTTCAATTTTTAAATGATTGAATTGTGAATATAACTTTTCTAAAATTATCGTTTGATTTTTTTTTTTTTTTTTTTTTTTTGGTGCCTTTCTAATCTAAACAAATATACAGCATCAGTTTCTTCGGATGAAGACCGAATTTTCGTTTTTCCCTGGGCATTTTCTGCTCCACATTGTAGTAAAAAATGTATTTTTCCTCGCCTGCGATCGTTCTTTAAAAAAGAAAAATGAGTCATCTTCCTGCTTTTAAACAGAAAATGGAAATGGCACTCATAAAATCTTTCCGTTAAATAGTGATGCCCCCAAATAAAACGTCCAAATGATTTTATTACAAAATGAAAAACCTGTGAATTGTGAAGAACGAAATAAAATTATCCAAATTGTGAAGGATCCAAATTGTCAAGCATCCAAATCATCTAATCAAAACCAAATAATGAAGATGTAAAATAAACAAAATCAAATTATTTTTTTATCAAATGTTCGAACATCCAAATGATGTGTTACCCAAACGTGAAATATTCAAATGAAGAAGCAAGGAAAACGTGAAGCAAACATAATAATCCAAAGGCGAAAAAGTAAACATTCAAAACGAAAACGTCGAAAACGTGAAACACCAAATCACGAGGCGTTGAAAAACGGAAAGTTTCGAATGTTAAGGCAACCAAAAAATAAAGCATTAAAATTGAAAGACCCTAAAAAAATGGTTTATAGAAATCAAAAGCTCAATTTTGATAAGGAAATATAGTACATTACAAATAAGAAATTCAAAAGAGAAAGCATGTGAGTTTAGAAATGGAAGAGGTTTTCAAAACGTGAAGTGTTAGAGATTCCAAAATGACCCATTTTTCAAATCGCGTTTTAAAAGATAAGGAATCGTCAAATTTATTACCCATGCTATGAAAGGTACCCAATTTTGATTGAAGCATCAAATCGTTAATCGTAGAAAGTTTGGCTTTACCATTAAAAATCTTATCTGAGATTTAGGCAAAATGAAGGATAAGCTGCTCTGGCTTTATTTATCTTGTCCAAAAATTAAATATTAGAAGCGTTTTAATTTGAACATCCTCAGCGACACCAGTTCTGAAAAGAACATTTTCTAAATCTTCCAACGAAAAATAATGTCAAACCTTAACATATAGCCCATTCAAATTGTTCTCTATAAATAAAATAAATGCACACAAATCTTGATTTTTCCGTTTTTTGTCTTTGTCTTCCATTTCGAGATTAAAAAGTCATCAAATGATTGTGGCATGTAGATTCATCCGTATAAGTCGCCAGCGACACTATAGATGGTATCAACAAACGATGGTTTCTTTTTCTTATTCGTTTTATTATAAATGTAACAAGTGGTTACCTTTGATTCAGGAGATAAAAAACTAAGGTGGACGCATTTTCAATATTATTAGTTTAGCAGCTGTTTTTATCGACCTTATAAGTCTGGAACAGAATAATATTTTAAATTAAATGCAATTTGACAGAAAAATATTTTTTATATCCAATTGCTGTTATTCAAATTTTCCAGTATTGATGGGGGTTTCCTACTTAATTGACAGTTTTTGGTGTGGTGTAAATTTGACATCTTAAGAATTTCATTATTTTTTCTTCGACAATTTAAAAACTATCCATTTTGGTGAATAATTCTGTTGAAATCCTAAAGTGATTTAGTTTTTATTATTTTTCAGTTTTTTTTGTGATTCCAGTTTTAGAATTTCATGAAAAGTCCAATGAAAAGTATAGTTCTCACTAAAAATACAGGTATTTATTTTATTTTGAAGCCAATTTAATAAAGGAAAACTGTAACCTTCCTTTGAAAAAAAATAAATAACCCAATAACTGGATTAACTAAATATTAAGCGAAATAAGATAGGAATAATATCTAAATTTTTGTTATATATTTTCTTCAACCTACGAAAATGCAACACTCAAATATTATGAGAAATAAGGAAAAAAAATGAACCGGGATTAAAAAAATTTTTAAGTAAAATTTACTTATGGCACAAAAATACCAAAAAGAGGGAGGCTGAACATGGTTTCTGTTTTTAAAAAAAAGGTCCTTGTTAAAGGAATGGCTTGAAAATAAAATAATTGGCCAATCAAAAAATTGTTAAAGGGACATGCTGATTTTCGGACAAATTCTCGAGCCTATTGAAAATATAAAAACCTGACACCCTAGGCCAGAAGACAATTGAATTTGTAATAAAAAAAAAAAATGGAACAAATTAAACAGCAATGCATGACGTTGAAAGAAACAGTTAATAAGGATTATTTGAAAAATTTGAAAAGCTTGTTCAGGGCCGAGATAAAACATAGAATTTTTGACTTTCTGGTTACCTGTAATTCCTTATTTTATTGAAAATACCCCTACCATATCTTTATATTTTCCAATTTACCGAAAGATCTTTTATTCAAAAAATTGATATCCACCTTGAAACATAACTTTTTGTTACATGTCGAATACTAAAGGAAATATGAAAATTTTAAAGAAAATAAATAAAAATGTTTTTATTCAAAAGGTAAAGTTGAAATTTTTTGATATGCCATTGTTAAAATAATTGGATTAAGAATAATGTAATGCGATTTTATCATTTATCAATTTATAAGAAAAATAAATAAAAAAAATGTATTCATACATTAATAATTTTTTTTATTAACATAGAAAGTTTTAGAATGAGGAAAAACCTAAAAATAATTAGAAATAAAATTTAATTTTATAGCATCAACAATTATAACATTAGGATACATAGCGTCGTTTTAAATTTTAAACCTGCTTATGGTGGACTTTATACAGAATTTTTAATATTTATTTATTTAATAATTTTTACATTTATGAGGATTTGACATAGAATATTTTGTTCATTTAAAAATGTTTTAAATAACCAAACAAATAGATCGAAATTTTAGATTTATAATTATAGATAGATAATATAAGATACAAATTTTAAACAGACTTTGGGATATTTTTATATAAATATTGTTGTAACCTAGAAAAGGTTACTGAATGAGGAATAACCAAAACGGAGGTTGGAAATGAAATGGTAATCTTTATAACATCAACAAAATACAATACTCGCCAGCGGCGTGAAGTAGGTAAACCACTGCTAGTGGTGGACTACTTAGACAGCATACCCCCCCACTTACAATAGTGTCCAACGTATTTATGAGGATTGGGACATACCCATTAGTGTTCATAGGTATGGTATATAATATAACATAAACATTAACTAAATTTCTTTGCAAAATTAAAAGATGAATCTATGTAGAAAGAAACATCAAACAAATTTCCCTCATGAATTGTGGGCAATTCAAAAGCTTTATCTTTGAAACTGACAAATTCATAATTTGTCTACTATCTAAACAAGGGTTAAATAAATAATATATTAAAAATTTATTTTTTCTTTAATGTGAAAAGTAAATTTATTTAGTAACCAAATAAAGTAATTTATTAAATTAAAATCTTTTTTAAACACCTCATCTTTATCGTGAATATTGACATAAAAATAATTCTATTTTGATCCAAACAAACATAAACAAAAAAAAACTAAAAAAAAAAAAAATATGGGAACCAAATAT